CATCAGGACCAATAATGAGAGGAGTGATGATTCCAGGAGGGTAAGGAGAAGGTGGGGGAGGATGGGGGAACCGATCACAATGATCTACATATAATCCCCTCCCAGAAAGATGGACAACAGAGAAGTGGCTGAAGGGAGACATCAGTCAGTGTAAGACATGAAAACAAAATTATAAATTATCAAGGGCTCATGGAGTGAGGGTGAGGAAAAAATTAGGAAGTGATACCAAGGGCTCAAGAAGAAAATGCTTTGAAAATGATGATGGCAAGAAATGTACAAATGTACTTGACACAATGGATGCATGTATGGATTGTGATAAGAGCTGTATGAGCCCCTAATAAAATGATTTTTAAAAAAAGAAGGGAGCTCACAACTCAGAGGCTTAGACCAATCACTGTTTAGGGTAGATGAGTGGAAATCAATAGTTCTCAATTAGGTGGTACACTGGTATTTTAGGAATTTGTTGGGGAATCCTAGACATCCTGTATGTAATGTACAGGGCAGTCCTGTTCTGACAATTCAATAAATTGCCTGAGTCTTTAAAAAAAAAAAAAGATAAATTATCAAGGGTTCATGAGGGAGGCAGGATGGGGGAGGGGGGAAATGAGCTGATACCAAGGGCTCAAGTAGAAAGAAAACATTTTAAAAATGATGATGGAAATATATGTATTTGACCTAATGTGTTTGACCTAATGGATGGATGTATGGATTGTGATAAGAGTTGTAGGAGCCCCCAATAAAATGATTTTAAAAAAGAAAGGCGCAACTGCTATTTTTTCCTTCTGTTTGTTGTTATTGTAAATATAGTCATCCATTGCTTGACATCCTTTCAGGGACTGTCCCAACTGCATACCAACCCCAACACCCATATGCCTGATTGCAGTTGTCTCATAAGTTTGGTTTTTTTTTAAAGGAAAAGCAGTTCTTTATTTAAAAATTATTTGCCCTGAATGGTTTTATGGTTTTAATGTCCATAAACCCAGAGACTGAACAAGCAGTAGGACTCCAGTTTGCATCCCAATCCCTGCAGTCCCTCCTCCCTCCACCTCCTCCTAGCTTCATTCACCATTCAGTGGGGTGGTGGCTGCTGTGGCTCCTCTCCTCCTGCTGTGAATGCTGGCCATGCTGATCTTGTCTGGGATGATTACAGGCTCATGGCTCCAGGCATCAGCAGTAGCTGTACACGCACAAGATCAGGAAGTAGCTATACTGCCAGGGCTGCCACCAACAGCTGTGCTCCTGGTACCCACAACCTGCGCTAGGCCCAGTTGCTACAGCCACCTCTGGCTGATGAGAAGACTGGACTTCTGCATTCAGTGAATGTAGCTATTAGGCTTTGTCTAGCAGGCTCCCATAATAGGCTTTATAGAGATTTAACTGTAGATGGTATGGGGAATGTTTGTATATAATATGTTCACATAATGTCCAAATTGTCTTTTCATGATTGACTTATTTCACTTTGCATAGTATCCTCAAGCTTTTTCCATGTTGTTGCTTGTATCACAATTTCATATCTCCTACTGTCTGAGTAGCATTTCATTGTTTGAATTTACCACACTTTGTTTATTTTGTGCATTTTAGGGCATTCCTACCTTTTGGCTACTGGGAAGGCTGCACTGAACAATAGTAAACAAATCTCTGTTTGAATCTCTGCATTCAAGTCTTTTAGGTATTGGCTTAGATAGGAGTGGAATTGCTTAGTCATATGGTAGCCCTAGTCATGTAGTGGCTAAGTGCTCAACTGCCAACTGAAAAGTTGGTGGTTTGAACCCACCAGTCACTCCATGGTAGAAAGATGTGGCAATCTATTTCCAGAAAGATTATAGTCTTGGGAATCCTATGGGTAGCTCTACTCTGTTCTATAGGGTTGCTCTGAGTTCGAATTGACAAGCCAACAATGGGTTTGGTAGTTCTAATGTTAGTTTTCTCAAGGACTACCATACTGTTTTCCACAATGGCTACGCCATTTTACCCTTCCACCAGTAATGAATCAGATTTCCAATTTTCAAAGACCTTTGCTAACATTTATTTATTTAACCTTAGACATTCCAATGCAGTGGTTCTCAACCTTCCTAATGTCCTTTAATACAATTCCTCATGTTGTGGTGACCCCCCAACCATAAAATTATTTTTGTTCCTACTTCCTAAATGTCATTTTGCTGTTATAAATATATATAAATATTTGGTAAACAGGATATATTTTCATTGTTCTAAATTGGACATAATTAAAGCATAGTGATAAATCACAAAACAGTATGTAAGTATATATTGTGAAATATTTATTTCTAATTACAAATAAATGAAATTTTGTCTTGAAGCGTGGTGGGGCATGCGTTAACAGTCTTAATAGAACAACAGTAAACTACACTGCTACATTTTGCGACCATATGGGTAAAAAGCCAATGTCAGTGTGAAAAGGTTGTGAAAGTTTCTTTCTCACCAGATCCAGCGTATCTGCATGTGGGTGAACCTGCCTGGAGACGGATAGAGAAGCGGTGTCTTGGTTTCTACGAGCATTGGAAATATGTGTTTTCCAGTGGTATTAGACGACTCCTGTGAAAGGGTCGTTTGACCTCCAAAGGGGTCGGGTTGAGACCCACAGGTTGAGAACCACTGTCCCTAATGGGTGGGAGATGGTATCTCACGGCTGTTTTAATCTGCATCTCTAATGGCTAATGATACTGATCACTTTTTCATGTGTTTGGTGGTCCGGTTTGAAATGTCTATGTAAGCCGTTTGTTCATTTTATGACTGCATTGATAATTAATTTTTGTTGCTAAGCTGCTGAAGCTTTATAAATATTTTGGATTTTAGATCCTTGTCAGAGATGATTTCTGAAAATATTATTAGAAGAAAATGTAGGGCAACATTGTCAAGCTTAACTTTTAATAATGGATTATCTAATATAATGGCAAAAATACAAATAGCAAGAGACAAAAATAAATAAACAAGACCTCACAAGAATTTTAAAGTTTAAACTTTACCCAAAGACTGAAAGGACAAACTACCAACATGGAGCATGCTTAGGGTTTCAAAGCCCTACTATGGTCTGTAGCTAGGAGCCTGGTGGTCTACTCGTTATGTGTTGGGCTGGGATCCGCTTGGTCAGCAGTTCAAAAGTACCAGCAGCTCCTCAGGAGACAGTCTGGACTTCCTACTCCTTTAACAGTCTGGGAAACCCACAGGGAGTCACTAGGCGTCAGCACTGATGGATAGCAGCGAGCTTTTCATGGTCTGTATCTAACCCTGTTATCTCATCTCTTACCACTTCCTTGTTTTCTGCTCTGGCAAGATGGACTTTTCTTTACTTCCTCAAAATAGTATCCTTTCTTTTATCACCTCTGCGCAGGACATGTAATCCTGTTCTTTTCTACTTCCAATTCATTCTTAGATTTTTACCATAAACATCACTTCTACAACAAGGCCTCTCCTCATAATATGTCTCTACAGAAACCTACCCACCCCATCATCGAGTATATTTCCACTCAGGAGAGATCCTACAGGGCAGAAGAGAACTGTCCCTTATGGTTTCTGAGACTGGGAATTTTTAACGGGGCATGAAGCTCTGTCTTTCCCTTTTGGAGCAGCTGGTGGATTTGAACTGTTAACCTTGCAGCTAACAGCTCAGTGCTTAATCCAGTACACAACCAGGACCTCTTACATGTCTGTATCGTACTCTATATTTCCGATTCCACAGCAGTTATCACACTTGGAAATTGCTGGTGTTCCTGAGCTTCTTTGGAACTATAAACTCTTGTCAGTAGGCATAACTTCAGTCTCACTCACCATGATGTTTACTGCCCGATGAAAGGTTTTGCATTGAAAGATGGAAAATGGTGCTAACATTAAACAGAAATATAAAACTTAGAAGGTTAAGTGGATTTGTGAAGCTTAGAAAAACAGTGTGAGAAATGAAAGAAAAGATTTTTTTTAACATAATTTGTGAAGAATAATTAGAGCAAAGTACTATGTAAGTTTACTTTAAGCACTACTTACTTTTACAATCTTTACTGGTTGTATTTATCAAAATCAAATTTGAAAAGGATGGTCTAAGTAGAAAAAAATTCTATGCGTGACCGGTTTAATATTTCTAATTAAAGTTCATTAAACAGTTAGCAAAAAATTCAATGGGTACATACTATATGCCCAAACTCTAATACGTGCTAGGCAATGGGGAAACAAAGATTAGCTTTTAAAGATCTCTAATGACTATTTCTACAAGTGTGTATATAGAAATGACAGTGCATTAACTAAGAGAGAAGGGGCTAGGGTCAGTTTGCCTGGATCCAGACTCTGTTTCTACCACTTAATAGCTATGTGCTTTTGGGCAAATTGCTCTCTCTACTGCCAACAAATTCTTCATGACAATCAACTTCACTTAGTGCGTGTGCTGCTTTTAAAACACTGAACAGGCTTTGAGTCTTTTCTTTGAAGGAAAGCAAAGCTAACTGACTACATGCACCTTGTTCCAACTTAACCTACAAATTCTTAAAAACATTGTTAGGAATGGATCTCCTTTGTATCCCAGGGGCTCTTGGTAATAACTATCTCACAGAACTGTTTTGAGTATTAGATAAATTAATAGGAACATTTGATTTAATGCTTGGCATACAAAGGATATTCACTGTTAGCGATTATTATGGAACCAGTTGAATTTAAAACTAAAGAGCATGAAGTAGAAAATAATATTCAATAAGTAATAATATGTAAACTTTAGCTCTATACTCTTGCTAGAACTGAAAGTACAAATAATAGGGAAATAAAAGAAGAATTTGCAAAAGAATCTTTAGGCAAACTAAAGATTTAGAGAGAGAGAGTTGTGAGAAGTATTAATTTAAGTTCTGTTAAGAAAAGCATTCACTAGTACTGGTATGTACGGTTAGGTGTACTTTACACTGCTCATCTTTGTAGCTGTCTTTTTTATCCAGCTTGAATTGAAAAACAAGCTCGAGGGCCATAATGAATACTTGTTTTGAAGCTGTCTGTAAACAGCTCCTTACCTCAAAGTCATCGTCGTCTCCTTCGGTGTAATGTGCATGGTTGTCTGGGTTGTTCACTTTGTCCAACAGTTCAACTGCGAGGGCCCGAGACAGACCAGGCTGCCCAACAAAAGTATGCTATATAAAAACAAAACGCAATTTTGTGAATAAATCTTTACCTCTAAGACATATGTTATTTGTGCTTTTAAATTTAAGACATGCATATGAGACCCTACTAGTACACATAAATTTTAAAATATTATTAGTAAAAATATTAACAGGGAATCTAGAATTAATATATTTTATAAATGAAACCTTTTGTGCTGTAAATTTCTAACAAATAATTCTTCTACATAGTTCTTTAATATGTTTTATAAGTAAAAATTTAACCATCGCTATACCAATGGTATTTATTACCCATGTCTAGTATACTGATATGGAAAAAAAATCACAGAGCAGCCCAATTTCACAATAGGAAAAAAATACTTATCATGTAAAATTGCATTAATAAATATATGTATCTATTTAAACATTAACCATTGAATTTTTCTCATATAAAAAAATTTTTTAAACACAAATAGGAGAGGGAGGGGAAAAACGAGGACCTAATGCCGGGGGCTTAAGTGGAGAGGAAATGTTTCGAGAATGATGAGGGCAATGAATGTACAAATGAGCTTTACACAATTGATGTATGTAAGCATTGTGATAAGAGTTGTATGAGCCACTAATAAAATGATTAAAAAAACAACACACAAACAAGCAGAGCCCTGGTGTAGTGGTTGCAGGTTGGTTACACGTTGCACCTTGTTAACCACAAAGTCAGCGGTTTGAAACCACCAGCTGCTCCACGGGAGAAAGATGAGCCTTTCTACTGCCATAAAGAGTTACAGTCTCAGAAACCCACAGAGGCAGTTCTTTCGGGGTGCTGAGTTGGAATTGACTTGATGGCAGTGAGTTTGTTTTTCGTATTCTGTAAATTTACACTGGAACCCAAGAAAGCAATTAATTTTAGATGACAACAACATTCTTAAGAACTTTCACTAAGGTGTTGGCATGCTAGGAACTATGGGCAAGATCTGGCGCATTTTTCCCTTAGCACAACAATGATACACATTGATATCACTGAGTATAGATGTTAAGCTTACAGTAAACAGTGTGTGACTTTGATTACTATTGGTACTGACTTCAACAATGGAAATGAAACAAGTAAGAGTATAAAATGTTCCGAATCGGCTTAATGCTAGCAAGGTAGCAAAGATAAAACCTAGTGGGAAGTTTTTGTTGTTTGGTCAAATCCACAGCCAATCAGAAACTATATTCTAAAAGCCCTGCTAATGTTCATTTGCAAATAAGGCTTTATAACAACACAGACATATTAATTCATACATACTATCTACAGCTGTTTTTCCACACTACAATCACAGAGAACAGGGCAGCTGCAATGGAAACCATATGGCTCATGAAGCCTAAAATATTTACTATCTAACTCTTCAGAGTTTGTTAACTCCTCTTCTAAAAGGCCTTTAGCGTCTTTATACTTAAAATCCTAAATACTGTTGTTGCAATGACAGATTCATTGTTATCTGACTACAGAAAATTCCTCCTAAGATTTCAATGACTTACAGTCAGAAGTCTTTCAGCAGTTGGTCTTTTCTTGGGGTTTTTGGTTAGTGCTATTTTGACAAAATTATGGAATGTTGATGACCTTTAAATAAAAAGAGACATGTATAAATTATTTAATATTAATTTTAAAATTTGTTAATTTTGGATTTACTAATTAAAATGAACTTACAAGCATTTAGAAACTCTGAAATACATGTGTCTCCCCACCCTCCTCTAGCCTCTAAGCCCTATACAAGTCCCAAAAGTAAACCTACAGCATAATATATTACTTGAAAACATCTGTCAGTTTTATTTCCAAAGTAAAATGTAATTAGGTTACAGAATATTAATATAAAACCTCTAAAACTACTTTAAAAATAGAAGTAGGCAGTTGGTGTCATACGGTTTAAAATCCTGTGCTCTGGCTACTACTGCTTACGAATCAGAATGACCGTTTTTCATTTCCTAATTTATAAAACATGTAAGTGTTCTTGCTATACTGTAAGAGTTCGATGGGTAGTGTAAGAGACTATATAGTATTCGGATCCTAAAAAGATCACTTAATTATTTTAAGGAGGAGACAAAGAAGAGAGCAATTTGAGAAATCAGAAGGACTTTTTAGGCACTTGAATCCACAAGGCAGAAAAAGGAAGACAAAAACATAATGAATTATGTTTGATTACTAATTAATGGCCAAAGGGTTATTTCCACCATTGCCAAAATTCCACTGCAGGAGGGACTGGGCAGGTCCAAAGTTATGGAAAAATCCGAGTGGTTAGCAATAACAGCAGCTGCCCAGTTCTCTGCAGAGAAATCAAATCACTGCACTGCTTTTGGTGGTTCACTTGCATTGAGTCAGATGGTGTGTGAGTCTTACAAAGGTTATCTAATGGTGATGACTACATTGGAATCCAACTGTGAATGTACTGCTTATAGCTGACAGCCACTCATCCCTTAATGCTTAATCATTAATGCCATAAAGTCTTCCAATTTCACATGTCTGAGAATTCTGGGTAGAAACAGAAAGAAACCATCATTGATACAAAAGAACAGAGCTAATGGAAGCACACACATTTCTCTACTTCCACAGCGTGATTTGCCTTTCACTCAATGCATCATTCTCAGAACAGCCTCACTCCTAAAGAATACTCTGCACAGGCTGGCTGACAAAGCTTAACGCAGGGACTTACAACTGTTAGGGGAGGACCTCTAAGAATCTGAAATGAGCTAGAGCCAATTTCAGGAAAAATCTATGTGCACACAGAATTCAGGAGGCTCACCAAGATATTTGATTTAATCTAGATCAAGAATTTCTAGATGTAGAAACTTGGGCATTTTTATTGACAGTTTCTTTTATTAAACATATAAAGAAGATATTACCATAAAAGTAATTTTTGAAATTTCTATCAAACAAATGAAGGTATCATTATGGACTATCGGGATGGTCAAAGTTTTATTTTGTATGAAGAAGATATGGGAATGAAAATAAGTAATAAAACTTTTTAAGAGTATTATAAAAGGGTGAAAAAAAACAACCACCAAGATTGAATTTGAGTGTCACAGATTATCTGGAAAACCTCCTCCTATCACCTCTTAACCTTTAACCAAGAGTGAAGGAACACAGGACAAAACTAGATAAATCTCCCAAATGCATCAATTTCTTGATTATCTATGAGTATTTCAAATCCTTTCCTCACCATATGTCTCACTCAAGCTATCAAAAAGCTAAGCAATTGATTCTGAGTTGTAGGAAGCAGCAGGGGATTAGAAAGAACAGTGGACCAGATAATAAACCTAGACCTGTGCCACAGCTCTGCAAGTAAATTATTACCCAAGTAACTCAGAGAAAACCAATGGCTCTACACTTTCAGCACCCATTAAAAAAAGGGAACTGAACCCATGTTCCTTCCAACTGTCAACAAGGCACAAAGCTGTGTACTCTTTAACTCACCATTTTGTTTTGTCCTTTAGTTTTGGAGGCTGAAAATTACTTTTTGACATTAAGAAGAGGGCCCTAAAATAAAAATTTCAGTTCAGAAAGAGCAATACTAGAATACTCACATTACATCTAGTAACCAGAATGAATACTCTGTAATGAATATATATAAGATTACTACATATATAGGCACAGATGAAAACTACTATGGAATATGGAAACTAAGTTTTTAAAAATTTTAGACAATTCATGGAAAATTGCTCCTGGTAGAAAAATTTTTACATTCCAAGCAAGTTTTTTATTTGCTGTTACATATATAACGAGTATTATATCTTAAGCACATGACTATATATTTGGTAACAGCCTGAACTAAAGATTGGTCTCTACTATTATTTTCTACACTTGATCTTAGCCAAAAGGCCGAGAAGCAATACTATTATTTTCTGTGTAGAAGCACATTCTATCCATTTTAGACAATAATTTTCCATATTTCCATTTCTCTTTTGTATTATGTAAATTATATAGAAGTCTACCTGAAAAAGGCTTTTTTCCTTTATGATTTTTTTCATGATGAATTTCTCCATAAATTTACCTCTGACTCATTATCATGAAGTATATATATGAAGAATAAAAATTTTAAGGAAGTTCTAAAATGTCCTATTTCAATTTTTCCTATAAATGGACTCTAATTACTTCAAACTTAGATTTTGGTTTTAAGTTATTAAATGATTTAATAGTTATTAAAAATATAAAAAGACTTATACTCCCACCACCATAAGTGATTATTTAAATAACTTGTGCTTAACAATTCCTTTATCTTTCCTCTCATTATACTAAAATGAATAAACAAGATTTTTTCCCCTAGATTATTTCCCAAAGAAAATTCCTAAAGAAAATAGAGGAATCTCTGAAACATTTGCAAGCCCATATATAAGAAATAAACTTCCTAACAGTCGGTACTTAAAACTGTAATCTAGCTAAGTATCTTGTAACTTTTACGTCTTTAGCTGTTTATGAGGGCTAAGGTTTTCTATAGCTTTTTCGTAGCTACACTTGCTCATAGACAATCTTTTACTTCTTTGTTAGGGAGTAGGTAAATTAAATGAGACTTCAAAACACTCATGAAAAATTTCTCTTCTTTCAATTCCATTTTTCTATAGTTTTGAAGGCTCATATTAATCCTTTGTCTAAGAAATGTAAGGAGAATCTTTCCCATTCTGATCATTTTCTTTGAAAATTTATACTGGTTTAAATTTTAGCCTAAATAATATTATCCTTCAAAGTATTAAAATATCTTGTAAAGACTACCTCAGGGGGAAAAATGAGGAGCTGGTACCAGGGCTCAAGTAGAAAGAAAATGTTTTGAAAATGATGGTGGCAACATATGTACAAATGTGCTCAACAAAGTGGATGTATGTATGGATTGTGATATGAGCTGTAAGAGCCCCCAATAAAAAGATTTTTTAAAAAGCCAACATGGAAAATTTCTAACATTGTATAGTCTACCGGGTATAAAAATGGTTCACTGTAAAAAACAAAAGCAAACTACCCCTAAGTTCCTTACACAGGTCTATATTACGTGGACACTGACAAATGGGCTTAGAATGCCAGAAGTGTTTGTTATTTAACATTCACCCACAGATTTTGCGATTAATTGCGTAACTATAAACCCTGAGAACACCTCATTGGATGCAGATCAAACATAGGCGGCTGAAGTTCTCCCAGTTCAATTGCTGTTATGCCCACAGCCCAGATGTCACAGAGTTGGTTGTAGCCTCCATTCTTTTCCACTGCTGCAACTTCAGGGGCCATCCTAGAGGGAATCAATGAACAGAATGTTTTTAATTGTAAAAGGATATGAAATCCAGTACTTCTTATTATCATCACTACACTTAGAGTTGTGCAAGAGAAATTATAAGAGCTGAAACCGATACTAATCAGTAAAATATTTCAAGAAAAATCTTCAAGTTGTGTATTTAAAGGAGTACATGGTGCTCTCATACAATGGGAGAAATGGATCAAGATAATATTTGTCGGGAAAACTCTCAAGTGTATTACAGTGGATGGGGCTAATCAACCCTAAGTAATCTTCCAGGAATGGGGAGCGTAGTACTGACAGAGACTAAGGGTATAGGAATAAATGAAAATTATCACCATGGAGAAAGCTAATTCAAGTTTGACGGAAAAAAGAAACAGAGCTAGACCCCAGGGAAAACAAATGGGTGCCATTTCCCCTGCCTATTGGAATCAGTTGGCAGCAGCTAACTGGAGTGCACGTTCCGTATGGTTGTGCTTCCTGGCACAGTGGGATGGAGAGCTATGATCAATAAATCTGCTCCTGGTACAGGAAGGCGAGTTAATGTGTGCCACTCTTACTTCTGGGCAGAACTTAACATAAACATAGGAAAAGGGCATTCTAGGGAGCTGATGAACACAACCAACCAGTATTATTTCTACCAGATATAGTCAGAGCACAAAAAAATTAGACAGTTTTAACTAAAGAAGAGTGTTCACCAGGTGGATAGATCGCAGGGGGAAATAGACCTGAGATGAAGGAACTTTTGTAAGCAATCAAACGCACCTTATGTTTTTTTTGAACATTTATTTAATATTTTTGGGGTTTTTCCACTCATTATCAAAAGTAATATTTGACTGAAGAGAATTTGGAGTATTAAAATGCTGGAAGAAAATAATTCAAACATAGTCCAAACCAGAAATGTACTGTTTCATACATTTTCATCCATAATTTTTATTTAAACACATATACATATATTATTTATAAAATGCTATTCACATGCCAAGTTTTTATCTTGCTTTTTAAAATACTATATATCATGAGCCTTCCCCTCGACCAATTAATCATCATATGATCTAATAGAGGCATTATTTTAGTTAATAAAAATGATTTCATTAATTTTTGTTTTATGTTCATTCATATACTCGATTTTATTGCTAATTATGACAAAGCTTTAATATTTCATGCTGCATGACGCTCTAATAAAGTTACAAGTAAAATTATTGTGACTAGAGAATGTAAATATTCCTTACAGATTTTGAAATACTGCTGTCAAATTATTCTTCAAATTTTGTACCAATCTCTATTTTCACTATCAAATATTCAGTAACATTACCCGTGACACTGAATATCTTCTCATTTGTTAAAATTTAAATTCCATTGTATATTTTGTTTGCATTTTATCATTAAGGATAAACATTTCTCATATTTTGACATAGTATTATCTTACATGTATGTATCATCTTACAATTGTTTTAAATACTTCCTGGTTTGATAACTTTTTTTAATGTTGTTGATATCCAGTTGAGCTGATAGACACCTAAGTTTTAAATTTTCAATTAGTTACATTTATGTTTTTCCTTTTAAGGCTTTATGCTTTTATTCCAAGAAAGGTTTTTTTCAACTATAAAAAGACAGTCATTGCTTTTAGTCCCATTTTTATATTTAATGTTTTAATTCATTTATAATTTATTTTGGTATTGGGTTTGAAGTATGGAGCTACTTTAAATTTATTTTCAAACCAAACACAGATACTGTTTATTAAAGAATTTAACCTGTCATGTAGTCTTTATGGGTCATCTTTTATGACATTTACTAAAATGTTTTACATGTTAAGGTTTCTTACTAAGATTTCTATTGTATTTCAATGATCTGTATGTATAACAAAACAAAAGTACTGTCTGAGAAAGGTTATTTTAAGTAACTGGTCTCTCACTCCCACCAAATGACCTTTCCCTGCATAGGCTTGGTAAGAAGGTGGGCAAGATACTGATAAGACAGGTGAATCTTCATCCAATCCAGGGTTCCCTAGAGTAGCATCCTGCTGTGTATAAAATGAGCCCTCTAAGCAGCATGGGGAGAGATCTCATTACCAGCAAGAGCCAGGAGTAGAAGGTGCCTCTGGGCTTGAGATTCCTGCACAATGAACCTCCTGGATCCAGATAACAGCTATACCATCAGAAGAGTGGCAACAGAACCAAGAGCCAGAGCGTGCAACAGAGTGGTGAACTACCCAACCCACAGAGCAAGGAAAGTTGAGTACTTTTGTGCAGGGGACGAGCTTGTTGAGTGGGGTGCTTCAGGGCACTTAATTGGGGGAGCTGGACTTGCTCACTCATGGAAGGAGAGCTGAATGCCTTCGGGCTGAGGCTTACTGGAGGTGGAGTGCCGCTGGGCATTTAATTCAGGGAGCTGGGTTTGATGATCCACAGTTACAACAGAATGCTTTCAGGTTAAGGCTTATAGCAGAGTGGTATGCCCTTTGGGTATTTATTAGCAGACTTGACAGAACTTTGTAACATGTCTTGATAATGTAACATGTCTAAATAACTCAACCCTGAGCATTTCTCGCTGGCATTACTGGCTAACTTCCTTATTAAACCCTTGACTCGTGAATTTTTTCTGTAATTTTGGTGTAGCCGTTGCAATGGACTTTAGAACCCAGGGGAGGAAGGGAAGGGGTGTTGAGAGAGAGAGGGGAAACTTGCTCTGGGGGAGAAACAAGTGGCAGCAGTAGGCTTCTGCAAGTTATTACCACCTTGGAAACCCTATGGGACCGTTCTACTATGCCCTACCGTGTTATTATATGTCAGAATGGCCTCAACAGTAATAGGTTTAGTGCAAACTAATGGTAGATTACATTAAGAGTTTTAAAAAGTGGGAAATGAAATTGAAGATTAAAACAGAAGCAAAAAAAAAATAGAAGAAAATTATAAAAAGCAATGAGGGTTTTTTTGGGTAAATTAATATACTTTATGAGTCCTCCTAAAATAAGAATCTAGAGCAGTAGAAATTATTAGTGGTTTAACATAGGGAAAGCTGAACAATGAAAATGCGTATCCAAGGTCCCTTGTGTAGTCAGAACCCTGAGAAAAAAAAGGACCAAGCAAGTAATATGGGGCTGAGTATTACTTGTATTACCAAGTACCAAAGTTCATCACTATGAGGGAAGACATGATATTGCACTAAATTCAGTAATAGTAAAATCTTACCAGTAAGGGGTACCAATGAAAGATTTTCTCTTTGCAATGGTTGCTGTTATTTTTGCAGCCACACCAAAGTCAGCTGGTAGGGAGAAAATGAAACAGAAAAATGTCTATTTTGTCAATAAACGAGCCAACATTTCTTACTATCTCCCCGAGTCATGCCATTATTGGTAATTCAGACATTAATGTTAGAAAAGGAATGAGAATGTACTTTATTAAGAATAAAATTTAAATATTTTTATTACAAGCATAGTTAAGAATTTGAGGGCAAAAAAAGCAAGAAACAAGACATCTGGGTAAAACATCCATGCAGTTCCTAACATCCCAACCCAGGTTAGCATTTTATGCTATATAAAGCCTTTCCACCCCCTATGTATAATTTTATTTTGGTTATCAAGCAAGATCATAAAATAATTAAATACATTTTAATTATCGTCTAACACACCAGATGAGTTCATGTTATTAGTATTAATTCAGATGACTAAATATTAGTCCCTAATGAATTTATCACAGTTTAATATAATAGTTTTCCTATTGATAGGACTATGCTTATATTTTATTTCCTGTTATAAATTATTATAGTTTATCTTTATTCTATCCCTGTGAACATAGATTTTTTTCATCGTTAAGATTAATTCCCTTCGGCGAACTAGCTCAGAAGCAACAAAGTCCACATGGAAGAAGCACACCAGCATGTGTGACCACGAGCTGTTGAAGGGATCAGGTATCAAGCATCAAAGAACAAAAAATCATATCGTTGTAAAGGTGGGTGAGTGCAGAGTAGAGACTCAAAATCCCATTGGTAGGCAACTGAACACCTCCTTACTGAGAGGCTGTGGGGAGGAGACGGGCCAATCAGGGTGCAGGGTAGCAACGATGAAACATGTAACTTTCCTCTAGTTCTTAAATGCTTCCTCCCCCCCACTATCATGATCCCAATTCTACCTTACAAATCTGGCTAGACCAGAGGATGTGCATTGGTACAGATAGGAACTGGAAACACAGGGAATCCAGGATAGATGACTCCTTCAGGACCAGTGGTGAGAGGGGCAATGCCTGGAGGATGGAGGGAATGTGTGGTGGAAAGGGGGAACCGATTACAAGATTCTAAGTACTGCTTCCTCCCTGGGGGATGGACAGCAGAGAAGAGGGCAGAGGGAGACATTGGACAGTGTAACTTATGACAAAACTATAATAATTTATGAATTATGAAGGGTTCACGAGGGAGGGGGAAGTGGAGGGAGGGGGGAAATGAACAACTGGTATTAAGGGCTAAAGTAGAAGGCAAATGTTTTGAGGATGATGAGGGAAACAAATGTACAAATGTACATATGTGCTTGACACAATGGATGGATGTATGGATTGTGATAAGAATTGTACGAGCCCCCAATAAAATAATTTTTAAAAAAAGGTTAATTCCCTTAAGTGAATCCCATGAAAATGAGTCAAAGATACACATTCTTGTGCCTCTTGATATGAATATAATTTCTGTCATTTTTAATTTTAATAAAACTCTTAAAACATTTTAGCAATGAGACAACATACCTAATTTTACATCACCATGGTCTGTCAATAAAATATTCGCACCCTAAAAGAAAAAGAAAAACAATTGTCACTTAGCATTATAAAATTCCTTCAAATAAACTTTAAAATAAATCAAACATGTTAAATGAACTTACTTTTATATCTCTATGCATTTTGCCTTTAGTATGTAAATAGGCAAGACCCTAAAGTTAAAAAAAAAAAAGCATTAACAAACTGCAATGATTATTAGAGACTTAGAGGGGCAAAGAACTTTTATTATTTTTATTTTTTAATAGCTTTATTGATGAATAAATGACATGCAATAAAACCACATCTACTTAAAATACACTTTTTAATAAGTTTGACTTTTGTATAAACAAAGTTTGGCTTTTGGATTGTGAAAAACACAATCGTGATAATGAACATCAACCTCAAGAGTTTTTTCATGACCTTTTAAAATGCTTCCTTTCTCTCTTCACTCCTGCCCCCAGCAAACACTGACCCACTTTTCTGTATTTATGGATCAGTTTGCACTTTCTAGAATTTTATGTAGACAGATCCCTGATCTGTCAGATGTTATCAATTTGATCCCATACAGATAAATCTTAAGGCAAAAATGCTCAAGGCAACATTCTTAACGAGTTAAGCTAAACTATTGTGGTTCTGCTTTGCCCTTACTGCACAGGATAATTTGGTTGTAAGAAGACTTAAGGGGATATTTTGGGTTTAAAGTTGATATCTCAGGTCCTAGTTTCACTGGGGCTTTCATCTAGTCTCCATGGTTCCAGCAAATCTAGAGTCCAAGAGATTTGGAAATTGTTACTAATTTCTTCTTTCTTTAAAAAACAAACAAACTCCTCGCTTAATCAGAATTCCACGACAGAGTCTTTGATCAGCATGTTCTCTAGTGGAAGCAGGCACCATCCAGTTCTTCTGGTCTCCTGGCAGAGAAGGCAGTTGATTCTGGAGGCAATTACCAAAACATTCCTGATCTTCCTCCTTCTGTAGTTCCAGGTGAAAAAATGCCAACTGTGCTTAAATGGCTGCTGGTAACCTTTCAAACCCCCAGAAGTACTCACTGAACTAGAAGGTAGAACAGAAGCACTAAACATACTATTATTAGGTCCAAACCCATTTTAACACAAATAACATGCATGTTCTAAAACGGAGGGCAGTAGTCCTAATAAGTTTGGGAACTCATTCAGAAAAATAAATGTTTACAGAAAAATATAAGGCTAATAATAGAAAAATCATTTCTTGTGAACAGACCAACAAATAAACTGGGTGAAATGCTGCACACTCCACAGCTACATGCTGTGGAAGATCTGTAATAATTTTATCATCATATGTCCCCAGTTAAGAAACCTGCTTAATAGTTTTTCAAACTTATAAAGAGGGATTCTCCTGTCAATGACACTTATTAATATCATATATGACTAGGGTTTCTGATTACATTTTGAATAACTTTTGTGCTGATTTATCCTCACTTCTTCAGCACAAGGTTCCTTTTGCTTCTATGAAGATTTAAGTTCATGAAACTTGACGGGAAAAGCTTGGACAACTTGTTCTAATTCAGAAGTCCAGTGATTCACTCATGACAACCAACTCACACCCCTAGTTTTCCTTAGTTTTGTAACAATTAAAGGTCAAGTGCTACAAAATAGAATATCACACAGCACTATTGTATATCTCAGCGTCCGTTCAAATAAATTCTGTTTACTCATTCACAATATAAACAGTTTTATAGAATTATAAAAGGCTAATAGAAAAGCTAGTTGGTATACCCTTTTTCTTGTGGACAGATCATCATTAATTTTTTTCAATTGTGAGATGAAAAATGTTAATATAAAAGCAAATGCAATACCTGTAAAGTTTCTCTGCAAACATAAGCTATTTGCAATTCTGATAATGGTCCAGTGACTAGAAAGAAAGAAAAATAAGAGCTGGTCACTGAATTATATTTGATTATGACAGAAGAGAAAGTCTTCTTTAGAAATGAAAGACTATTCAGAAATTTCTGTGTTTGTCTTTGAGCATATATTTGGACTTTACTTATGACCACAAGCATGTATTGCTTTTGTAAACAAGAAACAATAACTAAGAAAAAGCTGTGAGCTTTTAAACGCCCTTTAGAAAGCATGGATGTACTCTGTAACATCTCTGGTCGTGAAAATACTAGGGACTCATTATGTAAAAAGCATAGTACTAAAGCATCACCGAAGGTTCTAAAGGCAGCAACAGAAATGATCTTTTTTCAACAATTTATCAAACACCAGACACAAATTACATAAACACCTACAATTAACTATAATTCTACAGAGAACCATAAGGAGATTTACTACTAAAATATACTAAAAAGCAATATATATATATCGATATATTTTAAGGTAAAAAAAATTTTTTTAAGTATAATTCTTTACCATTCCTATTAAAACATAGCAGCTTAATCCAGTACCTTACTAAAAATTTAAAAGGAAGGCAGGTCACTTTTGGAAACTAGCTCTTCTCCAATTATAAACTATGAGATTCTTTTTTTGCAAGCAGTCACCCAAAAGCTTAGGAAATAGATCTTCTAATATCATGTCTGAATATTTGAAATCTGGGGTGGCATTTGCTAACAGTGAAACCATATCAGGACAAGTAATTAGAAAAATAATTTTGATGACTGGCTCTATCTACTCAGAAACATAAATTATTCTTAGTAACTTGATGGATTAAAAGGGAAGCCACATTTTACTATCAATTAATATATTAGGATAGATGTTCCTGACTCCTATTTAGTATCTAGAATATTATTTACAAATATGTAAATATTATATTAGATGTAATTAAATAATTATCAGGTTTTTGGAATGAAAATAGAAATTTCATGAAAAAATAAAATTAGTATCTCAAACACTGCTTTAAATTAAAAATGAAAAGTAGTAAAAAATGCCAGCTACACAGTTTGACTTTTCACCCCCCCGTACTCTTAATAACTCTCATTTTATGAGTATGAATAGATAAAAATTATAGCCATTAAATAAAAATTCTTGTTTTCTTTCAAGCAGGGATGAAGATCTTCAATTTTGAAGACCCACTCTAAGCTCAACAGGGACTTCTAGTGGTATAAGTTACACACAGTTGCTAACCTCAACGTCAGTGGTTCAAACCCAATGGCTGATGTGTGAAAGAAAGATGAGGTTATTTGTTCCTGTAAATAATTAAAGTCTCTGAATCACATGAGTTGGAAATGTGTTGATGTCGGTGGGTTTGATATTTTGGTGTATCACATAACATTTTCCTTCATTGGGAAATTCTAGTCTGATATATCAAAAAATGAAAGATTACTAAACAAGGGAGTCAAACTTTTTTTTTAAATGGAATCAATTCTTGTTTTTGAAAAAGCTTAAGAGGGTCTAAATCTTAATATTTTGTATACTTAGTAAAATTTATGTGGTGTTATACATGATTTCAAATAGTTAATAAGCCGGAGCTTAAGTATCAATCAAGACTTGTTATATGTTATTTGTTGTGAGATAATTAGATAATTATGGTATTAATATATTTCATTCTAATTAAAACATTTGTAAACATCATAGCTGAAACTTGTAAGTCTTCTAATATGAAATTTCAGCATAGAAAATATATAAAATTATTTCTTATAATTTTTGTAATAAAATATATAATCCATAGTTGCAATTACACAATTCAAACTATTATGCAACTATGCAATTAAAAGATAAATAAATCATGCCAAAAATTTAAATCTCTATGAAGTCTTAGTCTTAATATTACTAATAACTAGAAGTAAATTAAATATTAAGCTAATGTACTAAATGTTAATATGTAAGCATTTAATATTAAACATGTTATTAAGAAAGAAATATTCCCTTTATATGAGCCACCCTCCACATTTCAAATTTAAATAAAAGGAAACTTAGACCAAACAACTTATATATAAAACATTATAACTTGTATATAAGAATGACCTGAATAAAACAATTTGAATTACACATGTACTCATAGTTTTCTCAGCTTAGGCCCAAGCAAATTTAATTAATAGTAATTATCAACACAAAAGAAAATTTAAGTTTCCTCTACACAATATTCAGAATATCAGTGCACAGAATGTAAAACAGTAGTTTTATGGAGTTCAGGCTAATATTTCTGGTTAGCTAAAAATGTCCAACAACCATCTCTTACAATCAAAGTGAGTTTTAAAATATGAAGGCAGGCTTACAGTACCATGGTAAATATCCTGAAGTGATCCACCACCACAGTACTCCATACAAATCCACAGTTTCTCCCGACTACGATGCAAGAAATAGAAAATTATCTCAGCTAGTCAGTCTCATTCATCAGAATACTTTGAAGATTCACTCTTCAGCACAAGAAGCTTCAGTATGAGTTGCAGGGTGCAACAGGAAATTGTTCTGGCAGTCACTCCTCAAATTACAGAAGCATATTAATTTCAGCTTTGTGCTCATCACAAAAGGATTAGAATATGAGCAGAATTTTCTAAGTTAAAACATTTGCCTGAAATCATTTATAAAATTTCACTAAAGTTGCTCAGATAAGGTAAGATTGTATAAATACCAAAACACCATAGAAATTTTAGAACTTTGGGCAGCCTAATTTTAAAAACTTACATTCATGAACACACTGTGCTGAGAATGTAAAATACAAAGAAAAAACAGTGTTTCTGTTGTTTTTACCTGAGATAGCTCCCAAAGTAGGCAACAATATTGCAATGTTTACATTCTTTGACCATAAATATTTCTTGCTGGATCAGAGAAAAATCATCTCCTGAAAAACAAAATGATAATTTGGACACTATGTTACTCAATTTATCTACACTGAAGGAAAGGAAGCTTCATAGTAAATAATAGCTAGACATGAGGTATAAGTCATTTCCAAACTACGCACACCTTCTGTAAAGCAACAACACAAAACAACCAAAGCTACTCACATAGTGTCAATGCCAACTCACAGTGACCCTGCACAAGGGAGCAGACTTTTATGTTTCTTAGATTAGAAATCTTTACAGGAGCACACAGCCTCACCTTTCTTCCGTGGTGAGAATGAACCACCAACCTTGAAGCTATAAGTCTAACACATAGCTCACTATGAAACCATGGCTCCTTAGGAAAGCCAGAAGCCTTAAATACATAAAACATCTTTGAAACCACAATTTCACTTTTTATTGAAGGCATGAAGAGACAGGTGTTCACTACAGTGTGGGTGAGGCATACGGAGGGTGAAATAAAATGTGCCACAGTCATAATCTACAATGTAGGTTAAAGTGCATATTGACTTAGAAATAAGTTCGTGATATACTATGTGAAGAATGGGGATTTTACCTACTTATTTATTACCTATTTTTTATGAGGGAGCTCCAATTAGTGGAAAGCTATAGAAAAATACACTTGTCTTAGCCCCTTGTTAGGATGCCTTTAAAATAAAAGTGCACTAAAAATAGTGTTAATGTGAACATTAAATAATTTAAAAGAGCTGATCTTTGCAACAGTCTTTAAGTAAATCTTTAATGAAGACTTTATAGATTGAATCATATATATATAAACATATAGATATGAACACTTCAAAAAGTTTGTGGAAACATTCCATTATATTTATTTTCCCACAAATTTTTGAAGTCCCCTTGTGTATGTATGTACATAAGATGATCTTGTGTTTCCAATTTAGGCAGAAGCAGTGAGTACTTTCTGAAAGTTACTATAGTGATTACTTGTTGATATGTCTCTTCTGACCACAGTCTTTGTTACATGCACCAAAAGACAGAATGAGACCATACAGATTGGGTATGTATATTTCTTCTTTTGCTGACAAGTCTGGGTAATAGAAGCATCTTCCCATGAAGATGTTGATAGTATTGTATGATTCAGTTGTGACTGTTAACAGTGTTAATTAATTGTGAATGTAGGGGGAGTGGGGAGGGAGGGGGGAAATGAGGAGCTGATATTAAGGGCTCAAGTAGAAAGCAAATGTTTTGAGAATGATGATGGTAACAAATGTACAAATGTGCTTGACACAATGGATTGTGATAAGAATTGTACGAGCCCCCAATAAAATGATTTTTTTTAAAAAAATGTGAATGTAAAAACCTGGAAATCTAGCATGGGGATTTGTCAATTTTGCCATCCCAGCATGTATACAAATAAGCCCTCTCAGAAGCCGGAATGGTGATTCTCACTACCATCAGAAAAAGAAAAACCTCCTGGCTGCCCCACATTTGACCAAAAAAAAGAGAACCTCACTGACCCATAGCCCTAGAGGGGACAACACTGGAGAGAGTGTGGGAATTGTGCCCGATCTGACCCCACCACACAGAGGCAAAACACTAAGGGTGTGCAACAGAATAGCAAGGAGAGCACAGCAAGGAAGTCCAGAGGGAGTACCAAAAATAGACTTTGGGGCCAGGGCGTGGCACCCCATCTGACTTGACTGGAAAACACTCCCAGAGGTCAACAAATAGACCTTGAACTATTAACAGACTTTTCTTTTTTTGTCATTGCTTTGTTGTTGTTGTTTTGTTTTCTTTTTTCACTTTGTCTTGCTCTGTCTTATTTTTTGTGCATATTATTATCTCTGCAGGTCTATCTAGATAAGATAGGCTGGGTAAACAATCTGGAGGAGAAAACAACAAGACCGATGGTTCCAGGAGGACATGAGAGAGGGGGAGGTGGGGGAAAGGAAGTGGTGTTAACAAACCCAGGGACAAGAGAACAACAAGTGATCCAAAATCAGTGGCAAGGAGGTGTAAGAGGCCTGGTAGGGCGTGATCAAGGGCAATGTAACTGAGAGGAATTACTGAAACCCAAATGAAAGCTGAGCATTATAGTGGAACAAGAGGAAAGTCAAAGAAAATAAAGAGGAAAGAACTAGGAGGCAAAGGGCATTTATAGTGGTCTAAATACAGGCATGTACATATGTAAATATATTTATATATGACGATGGGGAAACAGATCTATGTGCATATATTTATAGGCTTAGTATTAAGGTAGCAGATGGACATTGGGCCTCCACTCAAGTACTCCCTTAATGCAAGAACACTTTGTTCTATTAAACTGGCATTCCATGATGCTTACCTTCCGGACACATCGCTGAAGACAAA